AGGCATTTAAAATGTAAGCACATACACTTAAATTAACATATGGTGTGTTAAGATTTTAAGTAACCTTGAGTCCTTTTGTGAGGCTTTATTGAGGCCACCGAGGTACTATCCCTGAGACCTGGATTATCTGAAATCTCACACAAGATCTGCCTCTTCCAGCAGCACAACCTCAGGCAATTTATGTAATCCTCTTGTCCCTCAATTTCCAAAGCATGGCTACCCTCGGTGGGGAGGGAAAGAGTCATGGTGTCTGAGGTTTGCAAACATCAGGAAGTCAGAGGTGAGTGGATGAGCCATGGGAGTGGGTGGCACTTCCAAGAGGCAGCAGCTGTAAAATGCAGGCATAATTTATCTACTGGTTGTGGATTGCGCAGACTAGTGCCCAGTACAAGGAAAGGACAGCAAACATGCCTGTATCTTCTGGGGTTTTTTTTTTTTCATTACACTTTGCAATCCTTCCCACCACTTCTTCAGGCAACCACTCATTTGCTTTTGTCCCTAAACATGAGTCAACTAATCTGATTAAACAGATTGATAGAGGTATTTATTAAATATATAACTGATGATAGAAGTTGTTGAAGATAAAGGGTAGTTTGTATTTGTTGGGAAAAAAAAAAGAAGGAAAAAGTTTTTAATGACAAAGACGGTTTAAAATAAGAATGTGAGGAAATAAATAACCAATCAAGTTAAAAGAAAATTACTGAACTAAAAAGCTTGACTTGTGACACTACATAGCAATTCGTGGTACTGCTATCATCCTTATTCAGCCTTCATGTTGTCATGTTTCCTTCATTAAACTAGTCAACAGGACTGCTGGTTGGCCATCTCTTTGTGCCAGGGGCTGGGAGGGGCTACGCTTGTGGCAGGAAGATTATTTAGACATATGCTGCTGTACAGTACATTAATCATTAGCCATACATGTCCATGAGTCAGGGGGAGGATCACTTGAGCCCTGGAGTTCAAGGCCAGCCTGGGCAACATGGCAAGATGCTGTGCCCATTCTCTGCCCATGAGGAAGAAAAACAAATTAGTTTGTCAGTCACACTGGCCACATTTTTGGTGCTCAACAGCTACATGTGGCTAGTGGCTCCCATTTGGGCAGTGTAAATACAAAAACTTCCATCATCATTGAAAGTGCCATTATATAGGGCCCATCCAGAAGGCTCTTGAGGTACATTGCGCATGGTGGAAGTCAGAAGGACCTAAGCTGAAGCAATGGCAGTGAGGAGAGGAAGGATTAGAGAGACTTCACATGATGAAGCTATGAAGGGAGACACATTGAGGATGTCTTCTAGATGTCTACCTAGGACAAATTCTGTAGAACCATTCACCAACACAGTCAATATAGAAGGAACAGGATATGGGGAAAGGGAATGAAGTCAGGATTAGACACAGTGAGTGAAGGCAAGCCTGGCACCAAGCAGTGATGCCTGGGAGCCTGCTGGCTGAGTGCAGTCCATGGGGAGTCTCTAGAGGCAGTTTCAAGGAAAGAGCCACAGACAGGAGTAGGGCTGGACTTGTGTGAGAGCATGCAGGAAATCAGGTGGCAGGAGGTGGTCACAGGCTAATGTCATGGCCTGGGAACACTAGTGTTTAGGTTTTCAAACGTGAGTGGGTCATAAAAATCAACAAACTGCATCTCTACCAGCATTAAAAAAATTATTTAAGTATTAATGTACTTTGCATGCAATTTGGGTCATATTTTCCTTAAACATTAATTTATTCACACACATTTGCAATCATTAGCTTGTAACAATGATATATTTCTGTGTTGTGGTCCAATTAGCTTGGATGTCATCAATTTATAGAAAGAGCACCACAGACTATAAGCTACATGGGAACCATAATGCCTTTTTCCATCATAATTCAAAATTGTGGCACACAATAGTAAGGACACTGCATGAAGAAATAAAACAACTCACAGAGAATAGGAAACCCAGGACATGGATGACTGAGAAGGCAAAGAATAAAAGAGAAAATTAACCCAGTGTCAGATGTCAGTGCCTTAGCTATACTGAGAAAACAGATGACCCTTACTTCTGTAATTTTATGAATTGGCAGGGAAATCCACATCCAGAGCTGAAAAGGAGGTGAAGTGGACATGAGACAAGTGACAGGGACATTAAGAGGAACTGTTTTGTACTAAAATGTGAAAGTTTGATACAAAAGAGATTATATATTAAAGGCAGGCTCTAGAACTGTGGTGTCCAATAATGGAAAGCACTAGGCAACATGGCAATTTAAATATAAATTAATTATATAATAGACTTCCTGAGCTGGAGTTGTGGCTCAGTGGTGGAGCACTTGCCTAGCATGTGTGAGCCAGTGGGTTCAATTCTCAGCACCATATATAAATAAATAAAATAAAGATCCATCAACAACTTAAAGAATAGACATCCTTACACTATTTCCATTTCAAGTGCTCATTGGGCATGTGTGGCTAGAAACTATCATAATGCATTTAGGTCTGATACAGAACATTACCTTTGTTGTAGAAGGTTCTGCTAGACAGTGCTGCTTTAAGAGTTTTAATTCAAATATAAAACAAGTTTAGACTAAACCAGTGTACAGTATCCTACAACCACTTTCTACCTGAAGCATTATCCAAATCCAGCAGAAAACCACTAGGGGATTATCTTACAAACCATACATAATAAAAATTACATTTGGACTCACTGGGTTAGAGTGTCCACTGGGAGGCCAGTGGAGACATGGAGAAGCTGCTGAATCTCAGGGTGTTTTTTTAGGGAGTCTGGGCAGTATATACATTTACAATGTTTTCTTAAAATCCAACAAAGATCTGTGACAAGCAGTAGTAGCTCATGATTGAAAGGACTGAACACACAGAAAAAGGAGATGTGGACTAGGGCACATAGGTACTGGAATAATGCTGAATAGAAAAAGTTGGAAAATTCAGGCTAGGGTAGACAGAAAACTAAGTGAAATGGGGTCATTACAGTGAAAGTCTTGTTCTACAAAATTGAAATGACTGGTAGATAAAAAATGTTTACAACTGCTACACGTAATTTCATGGATTATATATGGCATCTCAATAACAATAAGGAATGTGGCAGAAAAGTGAGGCATTATTACCCATCAGATAATGCTGACCTCTTAGTATAAGTCACTTTTGAAATTTTAAAATGAATATTTCCAATTTCAAGGAAAAATCTCATTTAAATCACCTTTTTTAACGGAATATATTTGATTCTACTCTCTGACATCCTGTGATGGGAATGGAAACCAATGCCACATGCATGCTAGACATGCATTCTACCACTGAGCTACATTCCCAGCCTACTCCGTCCCCCAAATTTTAAAAAAATATGGTAATTCAAGGGATTAGGGGATGGAAGGAGGGAACTGAGAACGGCAGAATTCTTGGTACATAACACCTCCATCCCAACCTCTGCACTTAGGAAAAGAAAGAACTCTAACATAGCACATAGCAACAATAGTCATGTTCCTAGGGTGACCCCAATTCTTTCCCCATTAAAATGCCTGCCTGCCTCAATGCAGCTAGGAAAATTACTGTTTGTTCTAGTCATTATCTGGTAAGACGCTCCTAACTTCCTTTTCTTAAGTATTAACAAGCGCAATTGTGAATCCTTCCTTCATCCCTTTGCTTATGTATCTCACCTCTTTGAGATGTTTACTCAGGGGTATCCTTCTCAGGAATCTGAGACCTGTTTCTTTAAAGGTAATCATCAGGAACAACAGGTCTCATTCTCCCAGTCTCAATGAGAGGCGACAGAAGACTCTTTGCTTGGTCAAACTTTAGTCATTCGTCTGAACCTTATTTTAGGCCCAATGTACATGTGTCCGTAACATCAAGTGTAACAAAGAATCTCAAGTTTAACAAGAACACCCCCGCCGCCATCCTGGGTGTCCGATCAGCCTTCTGCACCACCGCCAGTCCTGTACTCCCAGGAACCCTTAGGCTGGTTTAGCCACCCGCTCCTTAACCCCCACTGTTGGCACTTGGCAATTTTTCACCCACTGACCCTACATAGCTCCTTGGCTACAGGTTGATCCACGCTGGAACTGGAGTGAGCTCCCTCTCTCCCTCCCTGCAATGGTCTCTATACCTGCTTTGATGCTTAGTGATCCCGAATAACGCCTTCTTTCCCTCTTTAAGACCAACTAACTTCTCCCCTCGGACTGCCCTGAGACCCGCACAGCCTCGCTCGTCCGTTTCCCCCTGGACACGCTGGAACATTTCCCTACAAACAGGGCAGGGGCTCTGCTGTCCCCGACTGTCGGAAGTCACTGGCGACACCTCCGTTCGGCGGCGCTCAGGTTGGACAGGCTCCTCGGGGAAGAGGAAGGACTTGGTTGACTTGTGGGCGCCCCGCCCAGAGCGCGCGAGGGGCCTGCTCCTCCGCCCAGGGACCAGCCGCAGGGGCGCGGGGGCTCCGCGCCAAAGCCGAGCCCCGCTCGCGAAGCTCTTAGGCGGCGGCCTCCAAAACAGACCTGCACTTCGCCGCCGTCCGCCAGGCTGCCATTGCTCACGGTCCCATTGACGCCCCTGCAGCGAGAAAAATCCCGCCCGGAAGAAGACCTCCCAGTCAACCGCAGCCCCCGAACCTCAGCGGCCCCTATGGCCGCAGCCGGAAGTTCCCGGACCCACGTACGCCGTCGCTCCCGCCCTTCCGGGCGGGGCCGGAAGTGGCTTTCCCAGAGTTGCCGTCCAAGATCCGTAAAGCAAGATGGCAGCGCACACTCTGCGGACACTTACGGGCCTCCTGTTTCTGGCCTTTCTCTATTCACAAGGGACCTTGGGTTTCCATTACCCACTCTATTTTCCTTTAGAAAAGCACGCTCACGTCTGGCTTCCACTCAGTCTTGGCGGAGAACGAGCTGGAAGCCGGGAGGCGAGGCTGAACCCTACGAGGCACCATGCTGTACGGAACCGAAGGCCGAGGAATTCGCGCTCGGCCGGGCAGGCGAAGGAGAGTGGGAGGGAGGGCGTTGTTACCTGCTGGCGCATTTCCGCTTCCGCCAGGCCCCGTCGTTTTGGTTGGACCGGCTTGTTGCGGGGAGGGAGGGGGAAGGTTGTTTGCTGCCTGGGAGCTCTGCGCAAGGGAAGGTAAACTGAGGTAAGGCTGTGCCTTAAGGGAAGCTTTTGTGCCTGGATATGAAGATGGCTGGAGCATGGTCCTCGGGGTTGCAGAACGATGTAGGGTTGGAGACGGGAGGCTCGTGTTCCGCAGGGTTGGAGAGAGGAGAGGAGGTGGGGCCAGGCTGGGGGTAACAGGGTGAATTGCACAGCTGGAGGAGTGGGGTGGGGCGGGCGGAGGAGAGGGTGGGGGCTCGGAGGGAAGCCCCGAGGGCGCTGGTTGAGCTGGGGTGGGAGCTGGGACAGGGGTCAGAGTCGGACCTCAGTTCCTGGAGAGCTGAGGAAAGAAGTTGAAACTGGGGGTCCAAGCGGAATACAAGAGCGTGGAGAGACGAGAACGCAGTTGTAGGGAGGCTGGGAGGTAGACAGGGGCTGGTGGCCGAGGCCCTGATGCTGACATGGCCATACACTTGGCCTTGTTTCTCCTGCAGCTCCCCAGAGACGCCTCGAAGCCTTTGCTCCAGCCTAGCCTTCTCTCTCCAGCTGGCACTACAGCCTGGAGGCGCCTTCCTCCACCCTCCCGAATGGTGCTCCTCTTCGCTGGCCTCGGCCCAGGATCCAGGCCCCCTTTGCCCCCTGCCTTGGAGCTGTTGCTCCAGTTCCGTGTTGGTGGACTCCTGGTGGAGGGGAGAGAAGAACTTTTGCCCGGACGGGGTTTTAGTTCTAGGAATTTCAGCCTCTGAGTTTGAGGTTCTTCCTTTGCCCACTTTATCAGCCTTTTGAGAAGACAAACACTTCTCTTTGCCATCTAGAGCCCAGGAACCCTCAAACTGGGGCCCTGGTCCCAGCATGTCAGTCCTCTCTTGTGCATAGGGCTCTGCCCTCTCCAGGTCAGCATGGCTGAGTTCAGACAGGTTCCAGGGGGGCGGGAGACCCCACAGGGGGAGCTGCGGCCAGAGGTTGTAGAGGATGAAATTCCTGGGAGCCCAGTGGCGGAGGAGCCTGGAGGAGGAGGTGGAAGCAACAGCAATGAGTCCAAATTGTCCCCAAGAGAGGAGGAAGAACTGGATCCTAGAATACAGGTGAGAAGACTGAGTCTGGGGAGAGAAAGGACATCCAACCGGCAGTCCTCCTGAAGAACTGTCAGATGAACAAGAGCTTAGGTTTCTCTCCCCAGTATCCTGGGGCAGGAAAGAAAACAAGTTTGTCAACACAGCATTGTAATTTAGTGTGGCAAGTGCCAAGAGAGGTGTGTGTGATTGTGCACGCGCGTGCAGGGAAGGCCCTGAGTGCCAGGGTGTGTTGCTGAAAGCTTCCCTGCAGGAAGCCCAGGGTCAGGTTGGCCTTGGAAGCCAGAGGCACACTTTAGGTCAGCCAGAGTAGAACTGTTATGAGCGGAGGGGCCATTAGGGAGTGAGGGATCTTTCCTTCTTTCTACCTTTTTCAGCAGTGTCTCCCAGGAACATTCCCTTCTGTAGGCTGTGAGACCTTTCAAGTGTTAGGAAGGAGGCCCTGGGTTTGGGCCTAGAAAGTAATCTTCTGTGTTCAAGGCTTTCCATCAGCCATGGGCAGTCCATAATAACACGTTGCCGGCTCTCAGGTTGGGGGGTTTACCAGAGGAATGGAAGAGCAGTTTATTGCCTTGGGTGTTTACAGTCCAGCTGAGAGCAGACAGTGGGTGAGGAAGACTGGCCCCATGTGGAAGAGCTCCCTGGCCTCGGTTCTAGTGCTGGGTTGTAATGTTCAGGGCATTGGCTATGAAGGTCTTTCTGGAGAGTGCTTGGACAGGTGACAACCATGATGCTCCTTGTATTTGGGGCCTGATCTGCCATTTGGTCAGGTTGCATCGCCAAAGTTCTGGTATCAGAAAGTGACTCACCCTTCTCTAGTTGAGCAAGAGTGTCCCAGGCTTGAGTTCTTGGGTTTCTCTGTGAGCAGACCTTTATTGGATCACTGTAGTGAGTTGCTAAGAAATAGAATCTGGTCCTGGCATCCTATGGCCATTGTGGTTTGAGTTCCCAGGTTATGTGCGTGTGGGTGGCTCTTAGACTGTGCCTGTGTTTATGATGGAGCAGGGTGAGCCATTCATTTCTGCTGTGAGTGGGTAATTTATTTCTGTTGTGCCTCATGGACACTGCATTGAAAACAGCTTGAGTGTTCTTTCTAATTCTACTGATAATTTGTCCACTAAGGAAATAAGTTGTATTAACAGTGTTGGGCTATACTATGAGCTGTGGTTTTTAGGAAAATTGAGGCTCAGTTTCTTCATGTGTGAGGCAAGGGCTTGGTCTGGCTGACCTGCATGGCTCATGTTGGCTGTGCTTGGACACAGATGTACAGTCCTTTTCTTTTACAAATTCTTTTGTTTGTCTTTTGGTGAGAATTCGCAGTGGTGCTTTGGGACAGAGGTCTCTGTTCTTGAGGAGGGCCTCTGTCAGGCACTCTTCCTCCTGCTTCAGAGGGGTCTCTAGGAAGAGAATCCAGTGCTGTGGCTTCTCTGCTCTCCTGCTTCTGTGCATTTTCCAGTCTCTGCACAGGCAAAGGCACAGAATGAAGAGTCACACTTGCACCAGGCTGTCTGAAAAGGCGGCCGCAGCTTCTGAACATGCTATGTAAAAAATATTAATTAAAATTAAATAAAATAAAAAGTGATTCTTCCGACAGTGCTGTGCTGAAGGTGCAGACGCAGAGCACGTCCATGGTCACAGGCAGCTCTGCGAGGGTGGAGTGTCCTGAGGACACTGTGGAGCTTGCAGGCTCCATGAGGAGAAAAGGCCCCTGGCAGCCTCCCTCGTTTGAGGCCATGAGTGTGGCAGGCCATCATGCCAGCCTCAACAGGGGTTGGTGTCTTCTCACCCTGTGGGAGAAGCAGCCTGGTGTGAGGGACATCCTTCCTGGAACAGGAAGTGTCTTTTCAGCAGTGTCTCCCAGGAACATTCCCTTCTGTAGGCTGTGAGACATTTCAGCAGTGTCTCCCAGGAACATTCCCTTCTGTAGGCTGTGACCCTCCAGTGTTTGGGTCCCTCTTCTGGACATGGAGGAGTTTCGGGCCTGTGTCTTTCGAGGTCCATTTTAGTGTTGACAGTGACCAAGACCACGTCGCCTACTGATGTGTTTGGGTGCTTTAAATGGCTGTCCGTTTTTCTGGATTCTCATTGCATTGGATGGGGCTCCATCAGAACACACAAGGGAGCTTTCAAAATCACCTTTCCCTGACTTGCCAGTCATTTGGATTCTCACATGTGGGGTACAAAGTGACTCTAATGCACAGCCTGGGTGGAGTCCACTGCCACATGGATATCCCAGAGGGCCCGGTTTTTGCATTTTCCAAAGTTCCCAGAAATGGTTGTCCATGGGGTGAAGCCCTCAAGTGGACTGGGGCCCCTTGGCCACACATGCCTGCTGTCTGTGGGACCACACTGGAGGGTGGAAGGAGACTGGGTTGGCAGCTACCTGTGGTGTGCTTTCTCGCTCAGGAAAGGTCAGTGCTGCGTCCCTGTGTTGGGACTTCAGTGGAAAGTTCTCCAGCTTCCAGAGAGAGTGTTGCAGTGGGAGGAAGGGGAGAGGAGGGTGGTGCTGGGTGGGTCTGGGTCTCCCCTACGTTTTCCTCCATCTCCTCTGTGGTGGGCACATTCTTCTTTTGCCCCCCCCCCCCAAGACTCCTTGGAGTGACTTCGCAACGTGTGTCCTCATCTGGAAGTGTTGGTCTAGCTGGGGGAGCCGTGCCCGGGTTGTTTGAGTGTTTTTGACGGCTTGCACTAGGTGGGGCAGGAGCCTCTGTCCTGAGTGCCCATGTCTTTGACTCAGTGGCTTGGCATCCTGAGAGTGCAGCCAGTGTGCCCGGGAAGGTCACCCTCCCTGCTGGCTGCTGCTCACTGATGGATGAGGCACACTGACTCAGACTGTCCTCCCTGCGTTCCGTTCCGTTGGAGCTGAGAGCCAGGAGTGCTGGTGGAGCCAGCCAATGGCCTGTTGCCGATGGGCCAGGATAGTGCCTGGAGTGCTCGATGGCTTCCCGCTCAGCTTTGCTGTGTGTTTGCACCCCCTTTTCTCTCTCTGCAGGCCTCTCTGCTGCCTCTCCTGTCTGCTGGACCCCACAGGGCAGAGCTGAGCAAGTGGTGTGTTAGTTGTAGGAAGTGCCTTTGGGGTGCTGGTTCCTATGTAATGAAATGATGTCTACTTCTGCCACGGGCCGGTAGCAAGAGCCCTTGTCAGTTTTCCACCAGGGACAACTTAACACTGAGCCCTTCTCCTCATTGTCTGGGAGTTGGGGGTGGGGAGCACTCTGGGTCATGGAACCAGGTGGGGATCTGATCCTGGATCTTGCTTGGCTCAGGTGGGCACTGCAGGGTGAGCTTGGCCCGCCTCCCTCTTCTCTCCCTTGGAATAAAGGCTTACTGCATTCCTGAGGCCTGTTCTTTGCCTACCCAGTGGTGATCACAGCAGTCCTGTCTTTTCTGAGCCATTCGTGGAAGGACAGCCTCAGTCCCAGAGGATGGCCACAGTGTCAGGACAGTGAGATCAGACCCGACTCGGTCACCATCCCCCCTCATACAGGATGAGCTGGGGAGGAGCCTCACGCTGCAGCTGTCGAGGGAACTGGCCCCTCTCTCTGCGAGGCAGTCAGGAACCTGCTGGCCCACTGGGAAGGACCCTCTCCCACCCTCAGGGGCGTCGCCTTTCTAGGGCCCTTTGGGTGATTCCGTCAGCTCAGGGTGAGGTCCCTGTTAGGGAGGTGCTCTGTAATTAGAGCTGATGTTGCTCCCTAGGTGTCCTCTGCCTCCTCAGCCTGTCTGTTGGCTGCCCGTCCCGAGTGGCTTGTTCTGACACTGGGTTGTGGTTTACTTCCCCCTGTTAGACTTACACTATCAAATACAAGAGCCACATGCTACTGTCTGAAGTTGGGATGTGCCCTCAGGATCAAATGCAGTGGATTTTGAAAAGCATTTTTTAAAAAATGGTTCATATTTTAGGTTGATTGCATGTTGACATAACATTTTAGTATTTGGGGTTAAAAGCAGTGTGTCACCAATGGAGACATCCCCGTGGGGCATGTATTAATCTTATCCCCAAAGCTTGATTTCCTCTTTTTGTGTGTGTGTGTGTATGGGGGGGATGACCAGGGATTGACCTCAGGGCACTCAACCACTGAGCCACACTCCCAGCCCTATTTTGTATTTTATTTAGGGACAGGGACTCAGTGAGTTGCTTAGTGCCTTGCTTTTGCTGAGGTGGGGCTTTGAACTCCTGTCTCAGCCAGCCCCCTGAGCCTCAGGATTATAGGCATGCACCACAGCGCCCAGTGATTTCCTCCTCTTTAACTTGGGGGTTTACCAGGCCCACAGGTGGAGTTTCAAGGGTCGTGTTAGATGGTACCCAGTAGATGTCTGACAGGGACATGTTGGGACAGTCCCTCCTCCATGTCTTTCCCCTTCCCCGGCATCTGGCCTGCCTCTCCTGGCCCACTGGGTACTGTCTCTCTTCCCCTGCTCTAACCATGCTCTCTGTGCAGGAGGAACTGGAGCATCTAAACCAGGCCAGTGAGGAGATCAACCAGGTGGAGCTACAGCTGGATGTGAGTCTCTTTCTTCACACCCTTGGGCTGGTCTTCAGGGATGTCTCCATTGGTGTCTTGCCCAGATGGAGACAGTGAGAGGAATGGGTGTGTCTGAGGAACCAGAGGCCTGGGAGCCATGTGCATGCTCTTCCTCCGCCCTGTCCCTTTGCCAGGAGGCCAGGACCACCTATCGGAGGATCCTGCAGGAATCTGCAAGGAAGCTCAACACGCAGGGCTCCCACTTGGGGAGCTGTATTGAGAAGGCTCGGCCCTACTATGAAGCTCGGCGGCTGGCTAAGGAGGTAGGACTGCGTGAGCCTGGCCTGGACTCTGTGTCTGCACCCAGAGGGCAGAGCACTGGGGCAGACCTGGCTCTGCTTCAGATCAGCTCTGGGCCAAGAAGGCTCCTTCACCACTGTGGGCTAAGACCTAGAAAATAGGGGTAGGTGGGTGCATTTTGCTCTAGAAGCTGTTCAGCCTTGCTGCTGTTGATTTTATTTTATGTTTTGCATAGCTGGGATAGAACCAGGGCCTGGCTCATGCCCTCCCACTTAGCTGCCCCTCGACCGCCACCTGCTGCTAAGTACCTTCTGTGCATGAGGGCTCAGGCCCTAGGTGCATCTGATAGGGCCAACATCTTCCACTTCCTCTCTCTCCTCTTCCCTTTGGTTCTTGTCTTTTCTGTGTCTTTGCTTGACCATCCTTCTTACCCCCATCCATCTTTTTTCTTTGCACAGATAATGTGGATTCATCATTGGAAGACTGTAATAGAAACAAGAAAAATCCAAAATCTCTCCCAATTCTGTCATGCACTTTATACTCAGGATTTGTTTAATCCAGTGTGGGAAGGTGCTAGGCAAGGGGACAGCTGCCTTGAAAGAGTTCATGCCTTAGGAGTTGAGGAGGGGACCTGCCATGCCATGCAGGGCCACATGGGGGAGCACCAGGGTCATTGAGGCAGAGGTGATTGGGGAAGCCGAGCCCAGAGCCTCTGTTGTGGTTTTGTGGGAAGCAGCCGCTACAGCAGGGCAGGTGAGTCTGAGTGGGTTTCGGATTGGATGGTCTGCGTAATTCTGTCGAGCTCTGGGCTCTGAGGGTGGTCTCTCGTTGTCTGTAGCTGACCCTGTAGTGATGTAGGGCAGGGGAAGTATTGGCCTGAGTAAGAATTTGATAAAGGAGATGTCTGGTTGGGATCCGGGCCTTGGATTAGCTGGTTTACCTGTGAAGGATGTACACACACAGCAGCTAATCAGGTCCAGGCATTTTTATAGCCCTGGGAGGAGCAGTCCCCTCTTGTCCATCAAGACACCCCAATGCCAGATGATGGAGAAATATAGAAAATAAAAGGTATGAGTAATGCAGCACAGATAGCCACATATAACCACATGGGCTTTCTTTGTAGTCACTTTGGTGTATTTTCTGCCAAAGTAGGTTACACAATGTGTGCTGTTTTTGTCCTTTGTTTTACTTAGCTTTATGATATGGGCATGTGCTAGGCAATGCTCCACCACAGAGCCACATCCCCAGCCCCCGTGCCATCATCCTTTAAAGACGTAGGAATATTTTTTTGTTTTACTTGTTTAGTATGTTTTCTCTGAGAACTTGAGTTAACATTGTTTCCAGTTTTTTTGCTTGGTTAGTATAGGTTGAGTGTTCTTTTCCTGAGATGTTTAGGACCAGAGTGTTTCAGGTTTGTTCAGATTTTTGGAGTATTTGCATAGACATAATGAGATATCTTAGAGTTGGGGCCCAAGTCTAAACATGACAGTTATATTGTGACATAAACACCTGTGGACATTGCCTAAAGGTACTGGGGATTGAATCCAGGGCCTCACACATGCTAGGAAAGCTCTCTACCCCTGAGCTGCATCCCCAGCCATTTTTGTTTTTTATTTTGAGACAGGGTCTTGCTAAGTGCCCGGGCCGGCCTCCTGAGTAGCTGAGCTTAGGTATGTACCACCTCACCTGGTGTACCCAGGTGCTTTGGCAGTTCTGTGCCTGGACAGACAGGTGGTGTAACATCTTTCACTTGTGGCATTGTGCTGTTGCTTAGAAAGCTTCAGATTTGGGAACGTGGTGGGGTCTTGGACTTGAGTCAGGGATACTCAACCCACGTGATTGTGATGAATGTCTTGGGAAATTACGTCATTTGCTTCAGCTTGCTCCCAGGATGTGGAGTTGATCCTAGAGAGTGACTTTCTGTAAGACTCAATCCATGTTGCTAACTACCTTCCAACTGAAATGGTGTGGGTTTTCCCAGGGCAAAAGGCCAGCAGACTTTGAGTGATGGATTTCACAAGCCACCATCTATGGGCAGCGTCATTCCTTCTGGAGTTTTGGGTTTTTTTCCCCAGTACTAGGGATTGAGCCCAGGGTGCTTTAACCACTGAGCTTTCTCCTTGGGCCATTTCATTTTATGTCAGAGACAGGGTCTTGCTAAGTTGCCGAGGCTGGCCTAGAACCTGGGATCCTCCTGCCTAAGCTTTCGGTCTCTGGGATCACAGGTGTGTGCCACCATGCCTGGCTAGTAGCATTCATTTTAATATTCATTTCTATGTTTATTTCTTTCCTCATCCATTTCCTTATGATATGTTCCCCCATAGAATGCCACTTCAGTAGCATTTAACCTAACATTGCAAGTTGGTCTTTCTCCATCTTTCATCCTCAAGCCTGAGGTGGGTCCTCCTGTTGGGGGCTCCCTGTCCTGATGTCCATCTCCCCCCAGGCCCAGCAGGAGACACAGAAGGCAGCGCTGCGGTATGAGCGGGCTGTGAGCATGCACAATGCCGCCCGGGAGATGGTGTTTGTAGCCGAGCAGGGGGTCATGGCTGACAAGAACCGACTGGACCCCACGTGGCAGGAGATGCTCAACCATGCCACCTGCAAGGTGGGTGGATGTTGCCAGCAGGTCTCTGCACTTTCTAGTCCTTCCTTCACTGTCCCTTCATCCCCTTACCTCCTCATTTCTCCCTCTCTCCACCACTCCATCCTTCTCCGTTGACCTCTGGGGCTTCCTGTATGCCCTTCCCTCTGACTTAGAATGGCAGTGTATCAAGCTGTTGCCTCTGGGTGTGGGCTGACCCCAAGGTCTCACCCAGTGGGTGTCCTGGTCCAGCACTCACATCTCGTGAGGCTGAGCTCTGTGATACTTTTCTTCTGTTGCACAATGTGCAGTTTTGTTGCCATGTACCTTGATTTTTTCAGTGTGATTTATGTATCATTTCCAAGCTGCTGAAAGTAGACTGGGGACAGGAGGATCTCTGGCTGGGCTCCTTCTGACCTTAGGCTTATACAGGGCAAGCGCCAGCTCCTGGGAGTGGCAGTGTCGTGGTTCTTTAGCTGCTCCTTGCACAGAGGGCACAAGCTTTTGCTGTGGAGCTCACGCAGATGCAGGCACAGGGCACTGTGGGAGGGGCCATTGAAACTGCACCATGGGACATTAAGGGATGGTGGGCACCTTGGAGTCTGTGCTTGCCTGGAATATGGTATGATAGCCCTGCTGGACACCGTGGCCAAAGCTCTCCCCTACTCCTTGCTCACCTGTAGCTCTGGACTGCGTACACCTTGGGTGTGGAAGCCTGGAGAACCCCATACATAGCTGTGATTCCCCACAGGCTCCTCCTGTCCCTGACCCCTTGCCACAACTGTGGTGGCCGCGGGTGGACATTGTGCCCAGGACAGACATTTCTTCTGTGTTCCTGACTGAGATGGCTGTAGCGCCTTTCTTGGCGTTAGCAAAGCTGAGTGGCAAGTAGTGCAGGGACAACAGGCGGGACAGTGGGGGAGAGGTGGCTGCAGGGGCATGTGCTTGAAACCTGGTCCTTGAAGACCAGGAGATCAGGCAACAAGTGCAGAAAAGATGGAAAAGACGCTGTCCTTAGGCCAGTGGACCCACATTCCCCTGCGGACGGCTCTGCAGATCGGGGGCTTGCTGAGGCCTTCCCATGCAGGTTCCCTTGAGCTTGGGCATGTGCCAGGGACTGAAGCGTGTTTTCCAGCTCAGTAACGCATGTCCCTTCCTCACACCGGCCAGGTGAACGAGGCAGAGGAGGAGCGGCTTCGAGGCGAGCGGGAGCATCAGCGAGTGACGCGGCTGTGCCAGCAGGCTGAGGCCCGCGTGCAGGCTCTGCAGAAGACCCTCCGGCGAGCCATCGGCAAGAGCCGCCCCTACTTCGAGCTCAAGGCGCAGTTCAGCCAGATCCTGGAGGTAGCTGGAGCGCAGGGGGGTATGGGCAGGTGGGAGTGTGGGAGGAGGAGGGGCTGCACAGAAAGTGAGGGCAGGTCAAGGGATGCCACCTGCCGGGTGAAGCACAAGTGCTAGAGTGACCCTATAGGAGAAGGGTGGATGGGGCTTGTCCTGGCAGAGAAACTGGTTGAAGAAGGGAGGTCAGTAGGAAGAAGAATTGGTGAAAGCCCTGGGATGGGGAAGAGGACCAGAGGGCAGGGGGCCTCTGGTGGGGACTGAGAGCTGGGAGGACAGCCCCAGAAGGCAGAGTGGGCCTGGAGCAGGGCAGGACCCCCGGGATGGAAGGACCAACCAGAGGAGGCACACAGGGATGGTGCTGCAGGTCTGCTCTGTACCCAGCACTGCCAGGCCTCCAGGATAGGAGGCCATGGCCTAGATGCAGAGTGCCAAGTGGGGCCGAGTGATGTCCCATGCTTACCTGTCTTGCCCTCACCTGTCTTGCCCTCTGCAGGAGCACAAGGCTAAGGTGACAGAACTGGAGCAGCAGGTAGCACAGGCGAAGACCCGCTACTCAGTCGCTCTGCGCAACCTGGAGCAGATCAGCGAGCAAATTCACGCGCGGCGCCGGGGCCTGCCTGCCCACCCCCCAGGTCCACGGCGCTCCTCCCCTGTGGGGGCTGAGGCTGGGCCTGAAAGCCTGGATGACGGGGACAGTGGCATTGAGGGTGCTGAAGGTGGGGGGCTGGAGGAGGGCGGCGGCCTAGGGCCTGGACCTGGCGCGGACACAGACACACTGAGCCTGCTGAGCCTGCGCACCGTGGCCTCCGACCTGCAGAAGTGCGACTCGGTGGAGCACCTGAGGGGCCTCTCGGACCATGCCAGTCTAGACGGCCAAGAGCTGGGACCCCGGAGTGGGGGACGCCGGGGCAGTGACGGTGGGGCCCGAGGGGGCCGCCACCAGCGCAGTGTCAGCCTGTAGCACGCTAGCTGGGGCTTTGGGCTTGTCTCCCACTGTAGTCTCATCAGGGCCCTTGGGCTTCTTCCTGCCCCTCAGATCCCATCTTTCCCCTGGAGGCCAGCTGTGTCAGCCCTCTGCCTGCCCTGCCTCCTTGGCCTCCCCTGCCCCTTCAGGAGGCAGTCCTGCAGGGCCTCTTCAGAAGGCTGCTCTCTGTACTCATCTCCTTCCCCTTACCCCTCTGAGACCCTTGACTTCCCACCTTCTGACTTCTTTCCTTCCTGGTCTAGCTTTGCCCCTCAGGGAACTTGGTCTAGAACACCTGGGAAGCTCATCAGAGGAAATGAGTACCCTAACCAGAGGGGTGCAAGGGGCTGCTGCTCCCCACCCACCCCAAGGCGGCTCCCAGGGTGCCCTAGCTATGCTGCTGAGTCCTGCCGGCCATGTGCCCCGCCCTTCTGTCCTAGCCTGCCTGTGTATGATTGGTGACCTTTCACCTCTGGAGACACCACCACCCTCAGTGTGCCCTTTTGTGAACTGAGCTGCTGTTATATGTGCCCTGTAGCAGAACTTGCCAGATGGAAGGGAGCCTGACCCCATTATCAGCATAGGGAATGTCATTCTGGACTGGCTCTGTATATGTGGTGTTTCTCCAGCTGGGCTGTCCTCAACCTTGCCCAGGTGCTAGTGGGTCCCTGAGGGGTCCATGTGGGAGGCTGATGCGGTCCCCACCCCTTGCTCTTGCAGTGGAGCTGGGCCAGTGTTTTGAGTGGGTGCTGCTGAACTGCATCTCAGCACCCTCCTGTGGGTGGCGTTAGGGAATTGGTGCTCAATTGCTCTCCCTTGCTTTCCCTACTGCACGGTCCCTGGGGAGTGCTTAGGCTAGCCTGTCAAGCCTTGCCTGCCATGATGGGGGGAGTCCCCTGGCTGAGGGTCCCAGCCTTCCTCGGGGAGTTGCTCCAGGGGTGGTGCTCCCAGTGTGTGTAGGGAAGCCAAACAGATCTGGGTGCCTTGGGAGAGCTGGTCCTGCCGTGTCACCCCAAAAGGACAGGGAGCTCTTTCCCAGCCTGGGTGCTGCTGCAGCACTTGGAGGAGGGGTGGGCCTTTCTGCACAGGCCTCTCCTGCGCTCAGGTTGGAGGAGGAAGGTCACAATGAGAACCTTGGGGTTTGAGGTGGCCACTGGTGGGAAGGAGAATCAGGGGACATGGGTGTGCAACGATGAGAACCTCAAGGTTTGAGCTGGCCACGGATGGGGAGGGGGAGGGGAGACACGGGTGTGTGTGAGTGCATGTGTCAGTGTGAGTGTGGGAAAGGGACTGCCTTGGTTTTATTTAAATAAAATAGTTTATGTAACAGTAACGTTTACTGTTGGTGTTAGAGGGAGGAAGAGAAAGGGGCATGGAGGACCAGGTAGAGCAAGCTAGGCTGTGGCAGGAGAGGAGGGAGGCCACACAGGCGAGTGGGGATGACCTGAGGAGCCAGTGTCCTGAGGCCATGCTGTGGGGACCAGGACACCAGGGAGGGGCTTGGTCAGAGAAACCTGCAGGGTGGAGTAGGCACTGTGGGAACCAAGAGGTGAATGGGCCAGTGGGTGGGATCCTTTATCCAAAGGAAGCTGGTTCTCCTCTCCTGCAGCATTCAGAGCTGGCTCACAGTGGGGGTTATCTGTGTGTATCTGAAGTCACAGTTTAGGTGGGAGGGTGGGAAGCGCCTGAGAAACTTCTAGTGGCCTCCAGTTGGGGAGGAATGTGAACTGAGTAGCCCCAGAGGCCCAAGCAAAAGGCTGGTCTGGCTGCAGCCAGCTGGCTTGTGACGCTTCAGACCTGGATAGAGGCTGGCAGCCAAGGGAAGGAGACAGCTCTTGCCAGGGAGGGTGGCAAGTGGGGCCAGGAGCAGGCAGGTGAAGGCCAGGAGCTGGAGGGACACAGAAGAGCAGTGGGTGCATCAGGAGCCTCTGTACTGGGAAGTCACTGTGCTCCTTGACAGGGACTGCTGCTGGGTCTTGGAGACCACCTTTGCTGGCCTGGCAGGCAGGTGGGAAATGTTGCCTTTATCAATAGCAGTGCCTGGCTGTCTGGGTGAGCCAGCTTGGTTTCATTTATTTACTTATTTTGTAGTGCTAGTGATGGAACCCAGGGCCTTGCTCATTCTAGGCAAGTGCACTACCATTGGCTACACCCCAGCCCATGTGGGCTTTTTAAAAAATTGTGCATATTAGAGGCATATAACATCATGTCTTGATAAGCAGTGAAACAGTTACTAGAATGAAGTCTATTAGTATTTTCATCATTTTTTATAGTCGTCTAACCTCCTGTGGCAAGAACAGCTAAAGCCTCAACAAGTTTTAGTATATAATAGTGTGGTTATCAGTCACGCATGGGTTTTCTGAGATGGCACTAAGCTGTCTTGGAATGGGTCCTGTAAGGCTCCTTGGGGGAGGAGCACCAGAGTACTGTGCATGCCCTGCAGTTTCTCCCTGCAAGATCATTTGCCAGACCAAGTGAAGCCAGAATCAGACAGGCAGTCAGCATAGATTGGTAAATCATCCTGTCAGGTCGTATCAAGGAGGCCAATTTTGAGTGAGTCTGGGAAGTGGGAGACTGCCCACTGAGGGATTGAAATGTTAATTCCTTCAGAGCCCTTCCTCCACCCTTACGGAGAACCTGCCCCTGCTCCAAACTGTTGCCAAGGTAACCTGTCCCAGGAATTGCCCCTCCTTCCCGGTTTTTAATGTGTCCTGGGCTGCTCCATCCTGCCCTTCCCCCTTCAGCCCACCTGTGTCCTACCTTTGGCCCTCCCATCCAGCATTCCTGGGCCTAGTCACTTAAGCAGGAAGGAGAAAGATAAGGGGAAGAGGGCAGGAGAACAGAGGAAGCCTAGGACATATAAAAAGGGCAGAACACCTCGCTTCTGGGGATACTAGGATACTAGCTATAGCCCCCTTCTCCCTCTGAGAGGAAGAAGTCTAGGTTACCCCTGCTTCATATGCTTGCCTGGGCTGCTTCTCTAATGTTCAGACTTCGTCATGCGGGGAAGCAGGACTCAGGCAGGGTGGAGCAAGGCCAGGAGGTCAGAGCTGATAGTGGAAGAGGACAAGCCACAACCAGCAGTCTCCTCTAGTGCTGATAGGTGCTCATCGGGTGCATCTCATTACAGGCGCATGCCTCGTCCCCATTGCTGTGTCCTTCCACCGAGGGGCTGGCACTTCAGTCTCCCCTGGCCCAGCACAGACCTTGTACTTCACAGATCATGAGGGGCTTTTGCTCTTTGTGCCTCCCGAAGACCTACAGCACGTCTCTGGTACAGCAGTTGGGAGGGTAGGACCTCTTCACATCTCCAGTGGATGTCCCCTGGCTTCTACTCTGGTTTTTTGTCCCTATCCAATGGGACAGTGTAGGTCCGCAGAGTGTCCATCAAGGGGTGTTTTCAGCCAATTCTGTCAGCGGTTCTCAGTGGCCTTGTCCTCATAAAAAAGTTGCACCTCCCTCATCTGACAGGCCCACAAATTGCTCTGCTGTCTGTGGTGGATCCATCTCACTAGGGGAGGTGGCTTCTCCCATGTCACTGTCACATGCTGCTGGCAGGGGGCAGCAGCCACCTTAAGTTGGGAGGAGCTCAATGAATCTTTGATGCAGGGGATGAGGCTTGTAGTGTTTGTCCTGCAGACACGGAGGTCCTCCCTGTGCACAATACAGAGGGGCCTGTGAGACTCGTAGAGGCGGGGGATTGTGGGCACCAGTGTAGAGGCCCCATGTCCTCCCAGACCCTGTGCATGTCCAGGAGACCTTGGAGTCACTGGCCCTGTGAGAGAGAGCAGGCAGTGTCTTGGGGTACTTGGTCCTTTGAGACAGGATATTTGGGAGCTGCTGACTTGCAGTGTGCTCAGAGGTCACCTCCTGCTGGTCTTCCCTCCTGTCCTGCCTCTCCCTTTCCTGCTTCCTTTCCTAATCCCCCACTGCAGCTGCCCTGGTTGGAGGGGACAACAAAATGGCATATGCGGTTCATTAAGGAATATTTACCCAGATATTTCAGTGTGCAAAAACGCCATGGTGGGAATTGATGAGGGTCTAAATGGGGACAGCTGGATTTGGGAGCGGGCAGGTGTAGCCCCTAGCTAACTCAGGTGATGTGTGGTCACTCTCGTTCCAGACACTCTGACACTGTGATTTGCAAGCTCAGGCATCAAAATTACTGAGCATGCTGTCCAAGAAAGATTGTCCTTGACTGGCCTTTGCCACAATGAGCTGTTTGCATGAGTCACGTGGCTCTTCTGGCCTCGGTATTCCTGTCTGCCCAAGGTGGCTACACCTGGGGCCTTTCAGGATAACTAAGCATTAAATTATCCAGGTGGCAGGGTTGATAGGACTGGGGTCCCGCATGAGATTGCCGAGCAAGTCCGGGTTGGTGAGGGACTTGCGCTCCTGCAGGCAGCGCAGGTACAAGGGGTAATGGCTGTGCATTGCAGTTGAGGAACTGAGCCCTGGGCAGTGGCTTTTACCAGGCAGGTGGCTGGTGGTCAGCACAATGTGAGTAAAACAGTTGATGATTCCAGCTCGGTTGGGAGGTAGGGGTGCCAAGAAAGAGGAACTTCCAAGAACCAGGATCGGGTGGAAGAGCCAGGCCCGGAGTTCAGAGGGCCATACCTCCTTCCTCAGCCTCATGCTTTGTCCCACCTTCTTCCCAGGTCAGCCACGGTCCTTTCCACTCTTCCTTTAAAAAATAATTCACTTTACAAAATCAAACATCTATTTTTTAAAAAGGTAATAAGACTTAGTCTACCAGAAAACTACTACTCGGAAATGTTTCTCCTCCTCAAAGCAGGAACACCAAGAAAAATATTCAAATTTCACATCACCGATCAAAAGTGCTGACTTCTTAGATTGGAAAAACTTAAGCTCAGCAAAAACTAGCTTTGAACATGACTGAGCTTTTGTGTATTTGATGGTGCTGGGGATTGAACCCCGGGCCTCACATTCTACCACTGAGCCCACCCCCACCCCACCTAAGCCTGGAAGTCAGTAAGATACTAAGAATTCTGATTACGAAAGTGACACATAAGAAATCCAAAGAGAACAAAATGAACTAAATGAAAGAGGAAGACCCTGGAAGCCCCCTCCGTGGCCCTCCCCCATCAAGAGAAACCCACTGGGTTAGGTACGCATCCCCTCCAGACCTTCTGTTCTACATAGATGCAAAGCAGGTTGATCTGGCCTGTCTTTCACCTGGGTTTTGGCGCTTGGTGTCACACTTACTATATACTTGATGCTTTACCATGTTAACACATGTCAGCTGCATGGTAGTCTTATTAAATAACTTTTTAAAAAACATCAATATCCCTTTTTAAAAATCATTCACACAAGTATGTGCTTATAATTCTAAAAAATGGACAGAATCTTAAAACACATTTAAAAATAATTTCTATTTTTTCACCACATGGGATGATAGTTCACTCCTTTTTCATACAAAACAAATGCTCTGTCAAGCCTATCTAAAAGAAAAAAAAAAGTCTGTGCTACACGTACACATTGTGATCAGATATAATAGGATGCTCTTAGTCTAGGATTTCAATTGGATAACAATAGAAAATTGGACAAATAATATACCTAGTACCCCTAAAATCCATAAATTCAGATTTTAATCCATAAATTCAGATCAAAACACTGCCATTTTTTGCTACTTGTTTAGCAAATGCTAATGGCATTCAATGCTGAGTACTTCACACTATGTATTCAGTGGATTGTGTGAACACAACATGCCCACCGTGGAGTTACATTAAGACAAAAATGTTTTACTTGAAAGGTAGGAGTTGTGTAGCATATAGGATATTTGTCCACTGCTTCAGCACATTGATTACAAAGTGACAAGATGCCTCTATCCATGCGGATTTTGCAAAGCTGCTCTTGCAGGGGAGCTTGCTGCCCTGTGGTTCTCATCTGTCTGCAGTGAAGTGTGATTTGACCCATCTTGGGTTCTGCCGTTCTGAGAACTCACTAGATCTGCAGACCCCAACCTCTGATGATTTATAGTTGCTCCCAGATATCTGAATTATTTTGTCCAGTTCTTTCTTAATGTCCTCAAACTGAATCCCAAACATATAACTTCTTTAACCATAGGATTTTGAAAGGCAGTAAGAATAATGGATTCTTTCAGTTAGTGATGGTATTTTTTTTTCAGCCGTTTTAACCATTAATCAATTGAATGGGTTAAATGAATATTATTTATATATATTTTCCCTTCTCTTCTAACAAACATTTATGCCCTGGCCCCCAGTTTGCATGCTGTTCCCAAGGGTCTTCAATGGGTTTGCGACCAGCAGCTCTCCTCCACAGTGAAGCACTTTTACTCCATCACCTTCAGTG